TTTTTTTAGGCCAAATTATATATTAATTCAATTCCACACGACCGGACTTGGCTGTCGTTTGTTTTCGTTGTTAATTCACTGTGTCGTTGCGATTTGCTTTTCTCTGTGTTGAAATGATCAGCTGATTCTGAACGACCTGAACGTTGTTAAACACATCCAAATTCTTCGCGTAAAATATGTTTCTTTTTAACGACGTACCACTTTCGATTGGAGTGGCTATGGTATGCGAAGACATATTTTTGTTTTCTCTTATTTGATACGCATCTCCGTAGGAAGGTGCTTATCTGGGAATTTGAAGTTCAACGACTTACATAGTGACACGCACGTGCAGCAATATAATAAATTATTTTTCCCGTAGTACGCTAAATGTGTACGAAAAACGTACGCAAGCCGACATCAGCCAAAACAATATTATTTAATTTTGCGGTTCGACATCAATGTGTAAAAATAGAAAATATGCAGGAATTTAATTCATGTGACTGTAGCACCCTAGCCTACTACGCAATTGAGTGACTATAATTTGTATTTGTTTTATTCTTAACTCATTGAGCAAATGCGAAAAAATAGACGTTGCTTGCATGTCAAAGCCTAGCAATTCGGTACTGCAACAAACTCTTCCAGCCTCAAACCTAAACCACATTTTCAGGACTGTTACAGTTGGCGGGGATTTCGCGCGTTTTTAAAGCTCTATGGCGCTGATTTTGCAGAAAGACACAACAATTTGAAACCATTTTTATTGTGCTTTGCTTTGGTTAATAGACAAACGTGAATATATTCGGAGGTGGAAAACATTAGAGTCGGTGTATAATGAGTCACGCCAAGAGAAAAACAGTTGAACTCGCATCACGGTTTTCGAAAGATTCCCATTCTTTTCACTTGGCAACAGAGGACTTCTACAACAACTTCAAATGACTTCTAGCGAGAGAAAAAAAATGCGGCTGTAGTAAATCATTATATCAGTGATTTTGTCAAATTATCTTAACAAAAAATAGTAGAAATTCTCATTACTGATCATTACCGAACGTATCCCATGACAATTTAAAGCTCACTGCGTGTTTATGCTCATTTCTTCGATAATATTTTATATTTTATTGCAATACCTTTCGTGGACCTTTCATAGCATCGTAATGTTTATTTACTTTGCCCGATAGGTAGCCGGTTTGACGGTTCGATAGGTAGACTTGGCTTCACTCTTGGCGTGACTCATTATACACCGACTCTAGAAAACATATGGTCAAACACGTCAAATTGCAAAGGTAATAAATAGCATGTAAACAAACTGCACACTTGAAAATATTGATGTACATTTAGGTGCTCTGAGACTGACATATACCGTCAATTTTGACATAAAATTGAGGTATAATAGACGCGAAATTCAGCTCAATCAAACGTACTATCGAACTTTTCAGTCTCGGAGCACTTAATTTTACATGACATGTTTGTTTACGTCTCATCCTTTATGTCAAAGATGGATTCCGTCACGTGTAAGATTAGGTATTTCTTAGTGTGTGATTATTCGATACGCTACCCTGATATGCATCCTCGCTACTGAAAATTATAGCACCGAAGCCAACCACTGTTTGCTGAAAAAAATGGGCATATTTTGGGATGTGGCTAAATTATTTTCCTGGGAGTCTAATCTGTGGCGAAATGCGCAATATAATTGTAGCTTTGAGCTATTAAATGACACTTTATCACTGTTGTGCTACCTGACGTATAACGTATATACTACACACTTAGAAATAACTAATCTTACACGTGACGGAATCCATCTTTGACATAAAGGATGAGACGTAAACAAACATATCATGTAAAATTAAGTGCTCCGAGACTGAACAGTTCGAAAGTATGTTTGATTGAGCCAAGGGGTGTTCACTCTACAGACTTGTTTTGCCCCAACTTTTTTCTCAGTGTACCTCAGTGTGCCGCAGCTGTACCGGCAGTGCCAAGAAGTCATTGAACTGACTTTTGATTGCTTGTGAATTATGCCTTGTTTGGCAACCCGGTATTTTAACAACTCTTGTTTTTGTTTTGTTTTTCAATGTTTTCAAATCGACATGGACTCCAGTTAGGACTCCACACTGGATGCACCCGACTCCAAGTATACCTGCGAGGGACGAGCTCCGTTATTACAAGATCCTTCCATCATATTAAAATATATAAAATATCATACTAGAAGAAGGGACTGATTACACACGGCTTACTCGATGCTACGGGCAATAAAGTATTTCAACGTTATATCCCAAGTAACATTCAACGTTTTATGAAGTACTACAAGGCTACCATAAAACAACATTAATAAAACCCTGGTCTAGATAGCTTTGCCTTTATTACATCAACCAAAACCTCATTAAGACTAGAATCTGTCTAGTTGGCCCACCCTGAAGAAGGTTCTAAAGACTGCATTATCGAGACATTTCAAGAATGACTTGCTGCAAAAAGGTTATATGACGCATGCATTGAGAACCATTTGAAATCCTTATTAAAAGGATTGATTAAAGGGTTTAACGGCTCTTTCAGTCTTTTTACTGCAGCAAAAACGTTGTATTGCTTCAACTCTCAACAGGAGAGTTGAAGCAATACAACGTTTTTGCTGCAGTAAAAAGACTGAAAGAGCCGTTAAACCCTTCAATCAATCCCTATAACACACCTGTCGCAAGCTCTCAAACTTCCTTATTAAAAGTACAAAAAAAGCTATTTAGCACTAATACTTGTGTCTTTTTGCCTTTGACGCTTGCCTAGCGCACTAAAAATAAAGCATCAATCAAGATAAAAAGGGATACATAAATATCGTCCGATCTTGCCAAATTCATTGTTCAAAAATGAATCTGTCAAAAATCTTCATAAATTTCCTCATCATTAAAGTGAAAGAATTACTAAAATTTTTGAAACTCATACTGTGGTCTATTTTTAGGTGACAGATTAAATCTAATGCGAAATGTGCTTCGGAAAATGGAAAAAAAAGTCCGCCTTCGGAAAACGTTGATTTGACTAATTATTTCTAATTTAGGAAACAAAATATAGTTATATGTTATGTTAATCATTGATTGCAGCCGTGACAATTTGACGATTTTCGTTTTTTTCTATTACTGCTCATTGATGAATTGATGAGAATAAAGTTATTTTAAAGAAAAACATCTTGAAAAACGAAGATTGTAAAAAAGCAAATGAAATAGTAACGATTGCATAAACATTAATTTTTCATAAGCCTGGCTGTTTTGCTTTCATGAAATCGCTAACAAATGCAAAACATTTTAATGCTGCTTTTATGAAGATAATTTGCAGACTGAATTGTTTTATCTGAAGCCATTTTGCTTGATCTTATTCCGTTTAGTTTTATAACGGCATTAATGGTGGCTAAGTTGCCTGGAAAAAGTTAAACGTCGAAATTTGTTTATCTTTCGATAGTTTTGTTGTGCGATCATTGCAACGATGTTCTAGTCCAGCGTTGGATCAACAAGTTGCGTGACATCCTTGATAAGGGCAATTCACCTATTGGAAGTAGTTACTCAGGAAGTGAGTTTACGTAACTTAGAACAGGTGGAAGCTCAATCATTCCCGAAATGTGAGTGATGAGTTTCCTGTCAACAGTTTTCCGCAGTCCCAGTTTGGCATCGCAACGTTATTTGTGGAGAAGGCTGCCATTTCCAATATGCTGTGTATTCCCAGCAATGTTAAGCGTCTAATTTGACGGCTTCCAGTGCTGCCCTCCCAGAAAGTTCTGGAATTGGATTCTTTTCTCTTCCGTCGACAGAATTGCTAGAATTATTACTCGATTATCCTTTGGCATTTCCTTTTGACTCTTATTTGTAAGCAGTGGAAGGTTTTGTGATACACTTTATTGACACCAAAACGCATCAATATATGCTTTTTGATCCCGTTTGAAACCGAACGGTTTCATAATTGCTTTTATAATGATAAAACACCTTAATGGAGAATTTTGTCGTGGCATCAATAAAACAAATACCAATTGATTTACTGAACAGTTTTAAAAGGGATAGAGTGCTGCATTAAATTCATTTTTAAAACCGTATGCTTTCTGATTTTCTCGTCAGGCTTTAAAAGGTTTTTAAAACAGCATTAAGCTGAACAACTAATCAAGAATGCTTTGCACTGTTAAATGCTGTATTTAAACTAAAAAGATTGCTTATTGCCGTTATAAAACCACAATAAATCACAGTGAAAGCCAAATGGCTGTTAAATTGTTACTTGGGATATTCCATCAGTTATTTTTTAGATGAATCAGCTTCCAATCGATCCGAAATGGTGTCTAGTTTTAAATTTGCATCTTGTTTATAAATTTGTAAACGTTCGAACATAAAAATACGGGCACTCGCGTAGCTTCACATTGTATCTGTTCAACAATTTTGAACACTTTATTTAGGGTCACATCAGTTTCAAATGGCATAAGGTCGTCTAGTTTTACTGATTGGTATCCACTGGAATCATTTCTTTTTATTTGTTTACGTTTTAAAAGTTGTTGAACTGGTAAATTGAGGTTAGGGCAACGCCACTGCCAAAACACCGTTTCAACCTCAAGAAATTTGTAAATTGTTTTAAATATAGCTCGTAATTATGCCCAACTTTGTTTTATAGAAAAACTCTAAGCAATTTTTGATCGATTGGAACATATTTCATCAAAATTGGATTATAATTACTGTTGAAACTGGAAAAATATCATATTTTTAAGTAAAAATAGAAGGGACGAAATTGGTCAATACAACAAAGAGATGTTTAAAATCGTTGGGATTTGAGATATTTTAAGCAGTTTTCAAATCGTATTCTATTGATGAGGGGAGTTGACTGTAGTTGCTCTCAGTACAAAATTTGTAAATCTATCTATAACAGTTTTAAAAAACCATTTGAGGTAACCCGGAGGGGTAATTGAACTGTATTAAAACAGTCTTCGCAGTACGCAATTAGCATTTTTGTTGAACCCACCGCAGCTGCACTCAATTAGTCCTAACGAAGCATTCCTTTCGTTCTCCTCTTCCTTGCAGATGACGCATTCAACCGAATCGAAAAGAACGAAGATCGCAAGCCAAAGCAAGGGCACGGAACAGGTGAACTCGGCAGCTCGGCAGCTGCTTCCGGTGCTGCCGGCAAGCCCAGCCGGAAAACCACAGCTTCCAATGTGACGACCACTGTCAAGAAGCAACGCACGGCCGATGCCAACTACCAACACCCATGGCTCTACACGACACTGAAAGGACACACCGGCCAGGTGTTTGATATGGATTTTTCCAGGAACGGGAAATACTTGGCGACATGTGCGGAAGGTAAGCTGCTATTTTGTTTTTTTTTTGCGGTTTATTTTTTTTTTCATTTGCTTCTCTTTCTGTTTACTCATTTTTAATCTTTCACTGGCGAAAGGTGTGCGGTAAAACAGCTGTTTCGGCTACGCTTCAGTTCATGCATTTTTTTTAACAACAGTTACTCATACATAAGTCTAACGTTTTCCTCGCTTAAGTCAAAAATTAACCTCACGTATACTAAAGAGAGAGGGTTAGACAAGCAGTTTGGAACGATGCCAAAAGCAAACGTGTTTGAAGTATTAATTGACACCATTATCATAGGTTACGGTTGACCAAAAGTGTACGCACGGCCTATACCGTTGGCACAATGATTATTTGTTTGTTACGCACACACACCTTTCAATACACGCACATTTTGCGAATCTTGTGCTCCACGTAATCGTAATACAAGGTCACGTACCAGACAGAAACATTGATAGTAAAAAATTATCTTTTTCGTACCATAGTTTACATAACAATTACGTCGGCAGCCGTGCCTCATTCGTCAAAACATCATCAGTGACAGTCGTCTTACTTGGCAGACAGTCGTACAAAATCCGTCTCTGTTGTTGGTGCGATGGCAGTAGGCCTTGATATGGTCGATATGAGAGGGGGCGCAGCACTCTCAATCAGCAGGCGGGTGCAGAGATGAGGCCACCCCAATACTGCCCGGTAGAACAACGTTAAAACAAAAATCGGCATTCCCAAAACCTTCAACATTAACGTTACAATTACGTCGGCAGGAGACTTTTCTCTTTGCATTGTTTCTTTGGATCACTTGTTCATAAATTGATCCCCCGACAATTTTTTTTTGTAACAGTCTCAAAATGAAGGGAACACACATTTATTTCATGCGGTGAAGTTTTTGGCAACACATATTTTTACCCTTCTTATAAAGAAGGGTATAGATATCACTTGAAAAACCGACTATCGATCCGAGGCCCGGAGGGCCGAGTGTCATATCAAAGATGAATACTAAGATGAAACTGTCGGAAGAAAAACTTTCTGTTTTAGTGTCTTCTTTCACGGTCCCTTTCATCCAATGAGAACTCCCCGTATTCAAGGTAATTTTGTGGTTTTGCTGCCCCCTCGGAAGAGATCAAATTTTGCGCTCATTTTTATCAAAACAATCACACCAAAATCAGAGATGTCCCATTTTTTAATTACTCGATTAACAACTAATCGATTCTTTTTTGTTCGCTGTGCTGCCATTTTTCCACCAATGAGAGTGCAGCACATGTTTGAAACGATCGGTGATGATCCTTTGGAGATGTTAATGCTTATATCGGCATGATCTAACCGATTATAAATAGTTTACTTTTCGGTTCGTTAATCGATTAAACGATTATTCGAATGAAAATCGGACATCACTAGATGAATGTGAAACGTCATTTCAAATATAAGGCCGTTCATAAATATTGATACAATTTGAAAGGGACCGGGGCTAATCATAAATTACGTCTCCATGGTAACTGAAATAAACACGAGTGTTCACCGGTTGGTCATATACCATTCGACTCAGCTCGCCGATATCGGAACATGTCTGTGTGTGTGTTGTGTGTGTGTGTGTGTGTGTGTGTGTTGTGTGTGTGTGTGTGTGTGTGTGCGTGTGTGTGTGTGTGTGTGTGTGTGTGTGAGTGAGTGAGTGTGTGTGTCTGTGTGTGTGTCTGTGTGTGTGTGTGTGTGTGTGTGTGTGTGTGTGTGTGTGTGTGTGTGTGTATGTGTGTGTGTGTGTGTGTGTGTGTGTGTGTGTGTGTGTGTGTGTGTGTGTGTGTGTGTGTGTGTGTGTGTGTGTGTGTGTGTGTGTGTCTGTGTGTGTGTGTGTGTCTATGTGTGTATGTGTGTATGTGTGTGTGTATGTAACGAAATTAATGCGCTCACGTTTCTCACCAACCGCTCAACCGATTTCGACAAACTTGGCGCCAAATGATAGGTCTTGGGGTCCCATTGAACGCTATTGAACGGTTTTGGAATCGGTGAACCGGTTCCGGAGATATGGTGAATATGGGCCTTCACGCTGGATTTAACGGAAAACGTATTAAAAACATCAAATTACTACAGCATTCAAAAATAAGATCAATGCAAGCCGTGTTAAGTGTTCCAGACCACATTGGACACACTTGGACATGTTCCGGGTACCCCGGGGAAGTTGCTTGAATATGAATTGAATTAAAACCCATTAAATCACATTAAAATACGATGATAAGGTGATTGGTAGCCTCACCAAATAGACTACACCCGGATATATTCCGTGTACCCCCAGGCAGTGGCGTAGCGTCACTGGATGACACGGGGGTGGGGGGGCTTGGTCACTGATAATGACAATAAAATAAATAAACTTGAATAAGTAAGAAGGGTCTGATCACACCATAGGTGGATAAATTCGGGTTTTTTATTTACGTTTTACTAGAAAACATACCGTCCGTAATACTGTTCATGTATTTGTAGTAAGAAGTTATCTCAATTCACAACTTGCTGCAAATCGTTGTATCATCATTTTGAATCCCACTGGTGACTTCGTGTCAGCACCGTGTTTCTTTTATCTTTGATTAACAGGAACCATATAACAAGCCTCGTGAAATTAGTGGACTGAAACTTATTTGGTATACTTGGAGCATGAAATCTGTATATTTCCGCTGAGTTACGAGTTTGTCTATATTCGAATACAATAAATTGCAACCTTTTTAAAAATTCCTAATGTCGGCATCGTCGCCGTCCATAAATTAACATCAATTGCGCTAAGTGGGTACGATTTTACTTTTTAGCTTCTATTTTGGGCAGTCCATATTCTTTACTATCTTGAGAATTGTTAATAAATGTATCAAGTAAAACACTATAGGTTGAACAAAACATTGGAGAGGTTTTGATATAATATATCAAAACCCCTCCAATGTTTTGTTATATAATACATATTATGTATTTATTCCAGTACTTTTAATGCATAGGCTTAAATGTTTTCAATAAAACTAACTTTGTTTATTCATTTGAAAATATATTCCCAACCGGGGGATGTAAAGGGAATATACACCCGGGATGTAAAGGGAATATACACCCCATCGGAGGATGTTAGTTGAGACCGCATGAACCGAGGATGCGATATACGGAGCTGCGGTCCAATGCAAGAAAATAGAGAAAGAAAAATGTGGAGTGTATTAGAGAGTGAATCATGTCGAAAAAAAGGGACTGGGGGACTCGTACCACGAACGTTGCGATTATCAGACTTCCACTGCTCTCTCTATGCTTCGGAATATTGATAGGCTAAAAGCGAACAAGAAGCGCTCATTTCCTCTCATACTCGCCTTCGTTTGTTTTTACTGCTGGAGAGAATCGAGGCAAGTGTATGCATCGTTCTACCATGTTATACATAAAAATTAAGGCAAATGATTGCTTGGGTAGGTGGAAGCATATACAGAACACGGAATTGAAAAAAAAGATTAAAAATCATTGCATCGCATGCAAGGTCAACTTCTAACATTCGCTGCGATGTTCATGAACAGAGGATGATAGGAAATGGAACAAACATTCATTGTAATAAATTTTTGGTTTGCGTGTAGTAGAGTAGGGTATAATTTCAAAAACCAGTTTAAAACTTTTAAATACCCTTAATGTCGATTTTAACGTTTCGACACAATTTTAAAATTAACATGCAATTTTCAAACATATCCAGCGTTTTTTTACTTTTATTCTTTATTTATTCTTCAACTAGTGGTATTGGATTATGTAAGCCGTAGTTTTCAGCACGTGGTCCAAGATGCAGGAAATACATTGATCAAAGAACTATCAGGTGCATGGATTTCGAATTCACCCAAAATTCCGGGAGCATCGATTCCGCCTATTAGTACTTTCGCGGCAAAAACATCACTAATAAACAAATACCATAAACGAACTGTATCCCGGATGTGTAAAGTATCCCACCAATGGTTTGGAAGATACCCAAACACGTCGTTAAGCTCTCTTTTAAGGTTAATTTTATTAGGGCAGCCATTCACCAGTTAAATTTTAAGCCGTTTGGCCTTTTCAACACCATTTTATCTTTGTCTATTTACGTGCGCAAACGAAGCTACCGAGTCATATTTAGGAGGTAGTATCTAGGTCTCTCTTTCTCTCATTTTTTATTTTGAAATAATTTATCAAATTTGTGTTCATACTTTCTAAATATACAGACAATTTTTAGTAAACATCTAAAAATCCTAACTAGGTTCGTTTTTTTTTATTGAACGTAGTTTCCAAGGCCATTTCGGATTTTTTAACCATTTTTGAGGTTTTAATGGCTTTTTTGAGCTTTTGAAAGTCGTAAATTAAATTCATATATTAAACTCAAAATATCGATAGCGGAGGAGTTTAACTGACAACACAAGATGCCATGATTGCAGATTTTATTTCCTTAAATCGTTTAAATTAGACCCTGAATTGAAATTTGAATGTTAGTTGTAAATAATAATTTAATAATTTGAGAGATTTTTTCTTCTTGAAATCATGAGCAGTTCTTTTTGTTTGTACTGCACTCGTTATGAGATTCAAAAATCGATAAGTTCTAGAATTAGAAAGATCTTCCTCATCGATCAGAATCTAACATTTTTAGATGGTACAGTACAGGTCATAACAAATAATACACTTGGATTCTTGTCCTTAAATTTCAAAGTGCTGTTACTGATCGTACGCGGTAGGAACTTTGATTATACGTTGTGAAATTTTCGTTGGTTGAAGTTAAAAGTGATGATTATTGACCCTCCATGGCACAGCTCAGATGAAAACTATAATTTAATAATTTTATGGTTTGTAGACAGGGGGCGCAATATGCTTTTATTTTTTTTCCTTGAAAATTTATGCTTTTTTACACAAAATAAAAAAAAACCAATGGTATTTTTTTTATTATATCTTTTTGAAGTTATTAAGTTTTGGGCTTTCGCTCAATACTCCTATGCGGCTAGATTACCATGCGTCGTAACCATTGTACAGTCGCTATAAATCAATGGAGATAAATTCCATCTTTAAAATGCGTTCTACTGATGTTTTTACTAGATCACACTTAAGAATTTTACATGACAAAAATTGTGAAAACTGTCATAATCAGTGCTTACTTCCAAACATGTTGGTCTTCAGCAATTAATTCACTACAAATGATTTTCAGAGTTGAGAGGAAATACTATACCAATATCAACATGAAGGTACGATAATTTATTAGCTTAAGAAAATTCTGAAGAGGATAGATTGACAGCTCCGTACTCTAACGGCAGTGTGAATTGAACAGAAGTTGAAATTGAGCGAATGGCTATTAATGGGACAATACTAATCAAATGCGTACTGCTTAACCTCACTCCCACGTTGATGGTTGAGAGTATTTTTGGGCATTTCCTCAAAGCCACAGGCAGAAGAGTGCCCATTAATAAATTTTAATAGCTTTTCAATATGAGACTACAATGTTAGCATTAACATGTTTCTCTTTACAAAAAAGTAGATTTTTCTGCGTAATTTTCAATTTTATTTTATTTGTCGTTCAATATAATTCAATGTCAATTTTCAAACATACGAATCATAGGTTAAGGAAAGATTGTTGTCCCTTACTTGAAAGTGATATTTTTATTTGAACTAAGTGTGAATCAATCTATTTTATTTTTTTTTAAATATGGTAAAATGTTTTCAATGTTAGAAACTTATGATTTCCTGTGAAATTACAGTGATATAAAAAATGCCCACATTTAGGCACAACTGCATTTAAAAACAACATATTTTCCATAATATTTGTCACAAATATATTTCGTACAAGGATTTGGGGAATCCACATTTAATAAGAATATCTCATAGAAAGTTACTCGAAAGCCATTTGAGGGATTTGTCAATTTTAATATTTTCCAATTTGAGATTTTAAAATGGCAAAAACTAAACAAAACACTCAATATAATAAGTAATCATGTGGAACGATAGCATCATTGTAGCCTATTGATTTTAATACCATGATTCTGTAAGTTTTCTCTAATTTAAGAATTAATTTCCATATTTACGTGAACGTTTATTCTCTTTGTTTCAATGCTACGATATAAATCACTAAAAAGAATTGTAAAAATCCATGGAGCATTGTTGCCTAGATTTATCTTCAATATAGACGACAATGCTTCACAATCAATCTTCTTAAGAACATTACTTTGGACGTTCTGCAAACAAAAAGAACTCAGTCATTTATCAGTTATCGATGTCCGTTATGACCTTCATTTGCAATTAATCAAAGCTAATTTACTGACTCACTCGGATATATTGGCTGACCAACGTATACAGTTAAATCAGAAGTTCATAGCTAAACTTTATAAGTAAAATGAAAATAATTTGCCTTGGATGAAATAATATGATAAATAAAAAGCTCAGCCAGGCGCCCCCCTAGTCGGGAGGCCCGGGGAAAATGTCCCCATTTGCTCCCCTCATATAAATACAACATATATGATTGTCCATACGAAGTTTGTGGTCAACAATTCTGAAAAACGAACTGCCTAGGGCGATAATAGGAGCACTAACCCTAGTGGATAGTATCAGCCAACACGGTCAATGGGGACCAAATGTCTTCGTTGACCATAAGATATGTGCAGTAGCGGCTACCACGCTCTGTTAACCTACTTGCTAGCGAAGAAACGGACTAAAGACGGTAGAGATAATTTATGACTGTTCGATTTTTAAGTGCACCCCCTAGTGAAACCTTAATAATAAGTGTAATTGGAGTTAACTGATACAGAACCGAAAAAATGGACACTAACCGAGCTCTCATGAATCATACTTTCATCTGACATCATCGCTTATAAATTTTCGACTAACCCACTTCCTGTCGCCGGATTCAACATAAACCCTAATTGCTCATTCGTTATAACAGGCTGCATCATTCGAGACAAAGGTATTAGTCACACGTTTGCTACATTGTGGGTCAATTCCTCCACGGTTGGTAATTCTAAAACGGAACGAATCGCAATGCACTAAAATCATGTATAGACCAGTGTATTGAAGCTGTGATGACTTATAAGTGGTGTTGGACTGTGTTGGGCCACGTGGTACGAGGGTACGGGTGCTGCCACTCTGAAGCTACTACTGCGCTGGTGTTTGGTTTGGCGCCACTAAATGATTGACAATGGTTGAAAGGGTTTAAGATCTTTTTTTCTGTTGCTGTAAATAACCGTTCATAATCCTATCAATGTGCTAGTTTTATTCGACTGTTTCGAAGGTTTTTCCCCGTCAGGTGGTTAACCGTCAGTCAATCAGTCGAATGAGCAGAACGAACGTGCAAAGTTCTAAAACGGTTTTCTTCTCTTTTTCTCTTTCCCCATTAAAGATTCGCCTTCAGCACAGTCGAGCAGCGGCAATCATTTAATTAATGGCAATATTAATGAAAATGATGAACAAAATGCTACCACACGCTCGCTATCGCCGGCGTCGTCATCGTCGTCGTCTTCGGCCTTCAGCGTTAGCGATGGTAAAGTAACCAGCAGCGATACTAGCAGTTGTTTAGGTAGAGGTGGTAGTAGTGGAACCAATAGCAGCAACAACAGCAGCAGCGGTAGTAGTAGTGGCAGTACCCGTGGTGAAGACTCACCAAATGGCCAAGGGGCAAACAAAAAGCAGCGCAGATATACGAAAAAAAAGCAACAGTATAAGAAACCGAACGCCAACAACAGTACCGGCGCTAACCACAGTAACAATAATAACAGCAACAACAACAACAACAACAACAACAACAACAGCAACAACAACAACAACAACAGCAGAAATAGCCACACTAACAGCAATGGCCTTAAGACTGCAACCACTTTGCGCCCAGCTTCGCCATCATCGACGACGGCTAGTGACGATTCCACTAATACGCTACAGGAGGATCACATTACGCAAGCGAAATACTACTACGGTTCTACGTTATCATCCCCCTCCAGTCCATCGTCGAAAGTGATTTCATCTCTGCCGGTTGGCTCCAACGGTCAACAGGTTTCGATTGGTTCCGCAAACTCATCATCCCCATGTTCATCCACATCGTCTTCGTCGTCACAGTCGTCGACTATCAAGATTGAAAAGAACATAAACTACCAAGGTCGACTGGATGTCAGCTGCCGTACCGGTATCGTGCAACGTGCGGACAGAAAATTTTACCAAGGAAATACTGGCGTCGGTCATTTGAGCTCATCTGTTGCCAGTACTACAAAAAATGCAGTAAACACTTCACCGCTACGGCAATACGTAAAGCTGAATCTAAACGAGAACGATCTCGTCAAGTACTTACGCAAGTACGTGCTCGATAAGGACGTGATGAAACAGCTTGGTTTCCCGGTGGAATACGGACTGGACATGGATAAAGTTATAATCTATAAATTTCCGCACGACTTTTTCCGTCCGGCTCAATTCTATCCCCCCGTCTCGACAACAAGCGACGAGAAGAAACGTGCTCACGAGCGGATAGTGGTCACAAGTGACAAGAGCGACGATAACGACAGCGGTCAAGGTAGTGGCACATCCTCACCGACCAATGTAGACGACAGTGACGCACTGCTCATGTATCGACTTTCGTCAAATTCGACGTCACTGAAATCGCCACTTGGCGACATGCAGCTGCAACCGAGTGAGGAACGAGAGTGCTGTCGCTGTGGAAAGGGATTCTTTATCACTCTCGATGGGGAATACCTGACACAGGAGCACTGCATTTATCACTGGGGCCGCTTGACGCGGGTTTTTAGCGGCACAGAGTTCAAGAAGGTGTATTCCTGCTGCAATGGCGAGTCTGACGTCAAGGGATGTACCATTAATAAACTGCACGTGTGGACTGGTCTACTTTCGGGATTCAACGGGCCGTTTGATGGATTTGTAAAAACGGAACCGTCTCCGAGAAAGTTGAAAAAGTTCGAAAAACTGCTACTGAACAAATTCTACTACCAGAATATGAACGTCGATTGCTTGGAGCTGCAGCCAGAGGATGTGATAGACGATGATGAAAGCGATGGCGTTTATGCCCTTGATTGTGAAATGTCCTACACTGGCCGAGGACTTGAACTGACTAAGGTGACTGTGGTTTCCGTCGATGGTAGTCTAGTCTACGAGAAGCTCGTCAAACCAGACATTGAGATTGTCGACTATAATACTCGCTACTCTGGCGTTACCGAGACGGACTTTTCCGATCCGTGTAACTACGTGACGCTGAAGCAAGTGCAAACAGATCTCCTAAAATTTGTCTACGATGACACCATCCTGATTGGGCATTCCATCGAAAACGATCTGAAAGTATTAAAAATCATCCACAAGACTGTGATCGATACGTCCATAACGTTTCCCCACATGAACGGTTTTCCGTTCCGCCAGTCACTTAAGTCGCTCACCAAGAACATCCTGAAGCGTGACATTCAGATACAGACGCAGAGTAGTGTGACGCAATCGCATCAACATCATCATCATCAACAACAGCATCATCACATCAATGCTGAGCTGGATTGCGGCGACAGCAGCTGCAGTAGTAGCAATAGTAATAACTCATTCGGTCACTGTTCCCTCGAGGACAGCCGGGCCAGCCTAGAACTTATGCTTTGGCGCATACGCAAGGACAAAGCTACTTATGACAATATGTGGAGTAACAATATCAGTTGTTACCGAATGCAGAATTAATTAAAAGAAAAATTGCTGTGATTATTTTTTAATTTATTAATTTTAAACCTCCGTCTCGTGCGGAACATCACTAGTAACACTTGTTGTAGATGGTTACTTAATTGTGTGATGAATAAAATATACTGATTAGGGAGCAATTTTTTTCTCTTGATTTGCACACACTATGCATCACCAATTCCCTTCGAACCTGTCGACATTGGCGAACAACAAATGAGGCTTTAAAGATTATTGAATGGAGGTTTCCATTTTGAATTCACCGAATGTCTTGATTCGCGAGAATACTGCCTACCGTTGTCGTACACCAGTCGTAATATCCCCTGATCACCCAACTACAGTAGAAACAAATCGAAGTGTGCATATCATTAGAGACCTAACAAACGATCGCAAAACAAAAGAATCCGTCCCCATTTCGGTCAATGCTAGGCTAAATCGCATCAACAAATTACTTCACCATTTTGTTTTTTTTTTTCACGCCCCGAGTCAAGTTCACCATCAGGTTCCTAGAAGTCGGTATTGTACTTTTTCATCTTTTTCTCATTTACCATTCACTAAAATTATAATGATATTGATGCAACACATAAAAATGAAACCTGTCGTTTGCTTGAATACTACCAGACGACAACGAAAAAAAGCACGCTCAGAGATGATGAAAGAAATGTGTTTATATTTTAGTTTAAAACAAAACGAGAAAGACTGTATTTTTATTTACATAATGCTTAGTAGTTTTTTTATTTAGTAACATTTTTACAAAGAATTAGACAAACGAAGCTCAAATCAACACCACGCGCCCCCATCACAAGATCTAGTTATTTTTTGTTTTCTTCGGAAGCTCATTGACTAACAGCAAAGGGCGATTTTTTCAGTACACAATTGCCAGTTCTCTCGTTTATTGCCCATTGCATTGAAAATTCTCCACAACCAGCAAGTTTTCTTTTAATTAATTCGCTCGTACAACACCCCGAAACGTGACCTGTACCGTTGGAAATGCGTAACGCATTTTCTCAAATCCATCACTGCAAACACTTGTATTGTCTCTACCGCCATTGTTTAGCAAAAAATAATAAAACCATGTGAGAAAAAATAAGTACAAAAAGACAGAAATGAAGCCAACTGCAGCAGCGTCAGATCGGATTTGCGCAAATCAGTAGACATTGGACCGCAACCATTTCATCTCTCGTGTTGAAGGAGTAGGGTTTTGTGAGACGAAAAAGAAACGCGCCATTCAAGAAATATATACAAACAAAACAAACTAATAGAAGGGTATTGAAATAGAGAAAAACAAATTCGATGCAGGGTTGCTTCCACTCACTTGCTATAAAAACATGTTTTTCGGAATTATAAAATCATTAGATGTTATAATGATATGTTAAACTTGTAAGTTAAAAGAAGAGACTGTAAAGTATGTGTTTGACACATGAAACCTGTCAATTCCGCTTTCTGAGTGTCACAATCAGCGAATTTATGATTCGTGATCGTTCACTCAGAGTGAGCGCTCGCGAGTCGTAAAATCTACAGCGAATTTGACTGATTTTATGTAAACACTTGCCTTTCAACCTCTTCTTGTATCTAACATGTACAAAACATCACAATAATATCTAATGATTCCAAAATTTCGAAAATCATTTTTTATAGAAAGTGAGTGGAAGCAAGCCTGATTCGATGTTTTCATATACATTATGTAAACGCTAGATGTTGCAGCAACGGCAAGCCAGAGAGAGAGAGAGACAGATTGAGGGAGCAGGCTATACAAACTCGAATAAACCTATTTTACCAGACAGTCACTGCGTTCGAACGTAACAGTCAGCGGCACGCACGAGTTATATGTATTTTTAGGTCACATTTGACCTCCAAGTGCGCACAGTTACACCTCACGCGTACACACGTGCTGTGAAAAAAAATTAAAGAATCAATTTTTTTACAAAGTAAGAAAATAATCAACAAACACTAGAAACAAAACAGAAAATTTTTAATAAAAAAAGTATTTTATAAAAAAATATCTCCAATATCTGAAACAATAACCATTGAAAGAAACTCCATTCGGTTCGGACCCCCCAGACGGAAATCAATGTCGTTCGAGGCGCACTGAAGACATGCATGGCTCGTCTTTAGATAATCGAATCTGCATCCTCATTTTATTGCATACCGTTTCAACAACATACAGGTAATACGCACTCTGCAAATGGTCACCGTTCATACGTTGTTACATCTAAAATGGAAACTAAATTAGTCTCACCTTCAGATTGGATCAATTTTATGGCAATGTTATTCGGCTTACGGTTGAGCTATATTTTTCTCGCTGGCCGTTTGGAATATCGATTAGCTTCGATATTTAGCAAATGCTACTATACTCAATGCACAAAAGTCTATTGAAACATTGTCGAGGGGACGGGGTAGGGTTGAACAGAAGGGACGTTATGCCTTGTTAATAGTGACAAAACTCGGGTTACTGCACCAAGGATGATCTTGAAACAAGAAAAAAAAAAAAAGAAAAGATTAGTCTTCAATGTGATTCCTAATCTTCTAGTCGTTGTTCTCTAGTTTAATGTGGTTAAGACTAGGGTTCTGATCAGGGTTGTTAGTCGATAACGTCAGCGATAACGCCTGAAATGGTGAATGTGCATTGCAGACGTTATTGACGGTTATAGATTATCAACCCTGGTTATGATGCATGGTGCTTGATTTTTTTGAACCAAGGAATTGAATTTTGACTGACAAAGGGACGTGCCTTTTTTATTTATTCCATTTCGTCAAGCCAGTGTAGACTACATACAATGATTATTACAATGTTTACTTACATACTATGCATTAATTCTATTCTGTTTTAGCTTTGTTTTTATTTGCTGCTTGGACATAGTGATGTCAATAGTTCCGCAATGCAAATTATATAGGCGCATCATTCGATTGATTGGGCTATTTTTTGCATAGTTTGTTCTGTACGATTTTTCTGAAAATAAATTCCGTGTTCTAAGATATCGACAAGGTGTGTAAAAGTTTAATTGTGCGAGAATTTCTGCCGAATCTATGCGCATTGAAATAATGTCGTTGATGAAGAAAAGCATTGCAAATTTGCGGCGCTCCTTAAGTGTTTGAGGGTGCTCTCACTCTTTGAAGAATATAAATAGCGGAACCTTTCAATTAGAATCGGTTTCTTGCAATCGAACAAAAACAAAACCTAAATTCATCAACCTATAGTGATATCTGACCCTTCTTACTAAATCAAATTTTAGCCACTCCCAGGTGGTATCTGAAACATGTCCAGGTGTTGATCAATGTGGTCCTGGCTTCATAATTACTGAATATTTAATCTATTTGACGGTCACGCCCTCGAGGTGCGCAGCGGGCAAGGTGGATCGACCAGGCAGCTATAGATCGAGTGGAATGAAGGCGAGCATTGATCTGGAAAAGATTAGATTGATCAAAACCGTTCGAAGAAAAATGATAAAAGTATTCTTTTGAACGATTGTTTAAAATATAACATTAAAAACGTGTATTTCAGGTAAATTCGTATATCTTAGTTGTTTGAAGATGTACAGCTTTTATGTCTTGGGCAACTTTTCATAGAATTCTATGTTCTACAACTATACCGAAGACAAAAAACCTCCATCATGAATTTAATCACTGTGCTATCTTTGCGACCACAACTTGAACTATTTGGATCCACCAAATAGTAGTCCTAAGTAATTCAAGAAACTTCACTGAAGACGTCAACTCAAGTGAATTCAATGCCAAAGCATTATTATTTATTGCTAGATTTAATTCCTGGCCCACTGTTCAGTTTTGGGCAAAATAGGATATTGATCAATGATTAAAGGCGACATTTATCGAACAACGTTGTTATTTAACTGTGGTTCAATTACAGGTTTTTAGTAGAATGACGAAAAGTAAACAGAAGGTTGCATCACACGTTTGTCAAAAGAACACAGTTCGTTTACTCTCCACGTTGTCTTAGTGCGATTTAGACGACATGTGGTGTACCTTCCAACACTCCTCCTCATCATGTACCGCCACAGTCCTAGCAATCCTGATAACTTCTTGAGTTTTTTAGTTCCAAGTGGCTTAGTTAGCATGTCAGCTGCCATCGCTTCGGTGAAACAATATACAAATCGCACAGTTCTTGATTATACCACTTTTTTGCCTCAATATGATTTGAGCGACGGCTGATTAGATCTGATTGCACAAATTGGAAGCATCCTTGATTATCCTCTGTCCATCCAAAGTTTCACCCATGTCACTAAGCAGTCCTGTCAACCAGACTACCTCTGGCCTCTCCACGCGTAACGTACTTGGATTCCATTGAGCTGAGCGTTACACAGTGCTGCAGTCGGCTGCCCCAAGAAATTGCGCATTCAGCATAGACATAAGAAATGAGACATACCCCGTTGTCGACCGACGAGTATTGATGTCACCAGCCCAATCTGCATCCAACACACTAAGATTATTTTACCGAAATCTGTGAAATTTTACCGAAATCTCAACAGCTGAACGTTCGGTAAACAGTTCGGTGATTTTTGACAACAGATATTCGTTGAAAACTACAGGAAAACTGTGAAAAATGACCGAGCTGTTTACCGAACGTTCAGCTGTTGAGATTTCGATAAAATTTTACAGATTTCGGTAAAATAATCTTAGTGTGAAGAATCCTAGTAGTCCTTCAGTATTGCTCTTGTACACCTAAAGCACTAGCTACATACGAAACTTCCACAGCTCGTAGTTGAAATCATTAAATTTATCTACGGTCAAGCTTGCGTTCTCAGATTAAATCGAACAACCATCTTGTCGGTTCTAGAGTACGGTAGCTTCTGCTTTCAATCCGCGGCAAAAACACACATCCTGAAGCTGCAACGTTCAATACCGTTGCCTCCGAATCGCGCTTGGCTGTATGCTCTCGACGCATACGATGAGCCTCGAAGTACAAGCGGGTTTTCTCCCACTGACAGATCGTTTTGCGGAACTGTCCTTCCGGTTGTTTGGTTGTCGTCGATGGAGCTAATTTAGAGGTTTTTGGAATGGTATAGGGGACGTAAATCTTTTGAAGCAGTAGATAAAATAGAGTTTAAGCTGCTATAGATGCGTAAAAAAAAGTAGATCTCATTTCTAGTTATAAACTGTATTTGTTTTTGCGTTGTACAAATGAAGTGAGAAATCCTCAGACTTTAAGTGTAAAAATTCATTGGTGTTGATTCACCAATTCTTTGCATATCTTTAGTAAATTTTGATCCTAATCTATCAATTACTTTAAAGAAAAATAAATTTCAACTACTGAGTGATAAGTTGTTAACAAATGAGCAGCTGGTGTGTACAACTGTGCATGCCAAGCATGCTGATATACAAATACGTTTCTTCCTCCAACTAAATTGCATCACCGCTGCCTGTGGTGAGAGAGATTTGCCTTTCGTCTTGCATAACGTGAACTTGATCTGCAATGATCTGGAAAGGAGAATATCTGTTTGGGTCAGTTATGCAGTCACCTTTTCCTTTCCCTTCGGTATCACATTGCACTCTGAAGAAACTGCATGGACTTACTGTTTTGCACTTTCACTTTATTTTTTCTCTCGTAAACACTTTCACTGTCTCCTTCTACTTAGTTGCTCTACTTTAATTCGCAAATTATGGATGCAAAAAGAAGGCTTATGAATTCGTAGTATGATACAATTTGGTTCAGGTTCATCAGAGATAAAATATGCTAGTCAATGTAGTGAATTATTTCCTACCTGCAATTAATTGAAAGAGCGAACTATTGCAAAATGGACTCGTAAAATAGTGTAACATTTTATAATGTCCACGTGGTACCAAGATTGCTTCCAGTTCGCTATAATAATGTTTTTTTTTGGAATTACGAAGTCATCATATGTTAAGATGATACTCTGTACTTGTTTGTCTCAAGAAGAAGTTGCAAAGCATGTGTTTAAGACATCAAATCTGTCAATTTCGATATCAGAGAGTCATAATTAGCTATTAGATGATTGATGAGCGTTCACCTAGAGTAATGCTCACCAATCATAGAATAGCTGAAGCTGATTATGACTCTCTGGAAGCAAAATTGACAATTTTCAAGTCTCAAACACATCAAAAATCCTAATGATTTCATAATTTCTTACCCAATAACTTTGTTCATAAGTGAGACGAAGCCGAAGACATACAAACATATAAAAACATATCGAACAAATCGGAGATATTACAAGCCACATGCTAGTTGGTCAACTTGTTAAAAACTGCATTTTGTATGCAAAGATTAACTCAAAATAAGACAAAGATTATTTTTTTTTTCAATGTACTTCGATAATTTTGCTCATCTTAGTTCAATTAATTATACAATATGTTTTATTTTAAACGTGGCCATTTAGTGAAGGTGAACAGAACAGAGTTTAAAACAGTTGATCACTAGGCATGGCAATGAAGATTGTAATCTCTGATTCTCAAACGATGCACCTTCAGTCACCACACCCGCGTACTGCCATCGCTCTGTGCTGATTCATATTATTCCACTTAAAACAGGAGTTCATTCGATCCTCTCCATAATGCATCTGAAACACTTGTCTATAATCCCGTCATAAAATATAATCCCCTTCCGATTTGGGAAATGAAGCGTGGCTGGAGTTAACTTGTCCACGTCCATATAGACAGCTCACATACCTGTGCACATGTCGCCGCCCAGCTCAGTATGAAATTTCTCACGGAAGTTCTGGAACGCTAATTAGTATTTTTTGGAAATAATATTCAAAATTTTCTCTCGGAACCCCTCTGGAAATTCCTTGAAACTATCTTCAAACTAGCTTGAAATGCTGCCTTTTTCTTCAGAGTTGCTTATCAATAAAAATTCTTCAGACAATTTTTCAATGTGTCAGTATCCTAAAATATTTTGATAGTTCATGATTTACGATGTTTTATTTAATCCTAGATCTTGAAAAGAACGCCATATTAAGGTTTTTTAGAAGTCTGAAATCTCGAAAAGTTCAGAAGAATGTAGAAAACTGAATTATCCTCATATTTTCTTATGTATTCTTTGAAACGTTTTTTTTTTTTTCTATCGATCTATCACTTGATAATAATAGGTCTTAAAATAATTTGACAATCTATTGCAATCTTAGATCCTTTGAAATTTTCAAAATTCTGAAATTTGTTTTTAATTGAGGGAATCTTTCGGTTTTTATTGCATTTAAAATAAAATCCTGTAACTGATTTTTTCCAGTGACACCTTTTGCTGAAATCAGCAATACAGGTATTTCTTGTTTTACCATAGTTTTGCAGTTAACATAAAACCGGGGAAAAATGTTGGGTATCCAGGAAAAACCGGGAATTTAGTTTCTTAAACTCTGTGGCCACCCTTTAATTCTGAAGATAAAGCCCAATATTTTGGAGCTGTGTCAACAACGTACGCTATGTATTGCTTGTATATAAGTACATAAGTCGAAAATCTATAACTTATTGGTTCTTCTGAGTAAAATTGAACACTGGAAACTTGGTAGGGTTAATTACCATTCGGTTTAAACAGGAGAGGCTTCGAACAGGAACGTTGAAAGAAGGGACAGTCATCAGTAGAGTAGATCTGCAAGAAGATATTATGATCATCTGCATACGATAGTCGTGGACCTTCACTAACCAGCTAACACGTTATTGCAGTTGATTTGGAAGCTCAGCGGTCCCAGGTTACTTCCTTGAAGTATTCCTGATGTGGTTCGATAAATATCAGACCGACAGGCTACCACCAGCTGGCGAGCAGTGATATACATGTGAAACAATCGCAAAAGGTTCAATCTAAATCTATTCCCAAGTCTATGCAACTTGGTAATCACGATGGCATGGTTTAGCTTATCGACTGCTAACAAGTTATGAACGTGCATCGAGTCATTTGGTTTTCGGTTAGATTTGTTTTGGTTGAAGAGATCGTAGAAAATCAACACAGCTTGGTCAGAACGATGTGAAAAAATGATATCCTCTGGAAAAAAAAAACTATTCAGGATCGTGCACATAGCTGACTTCTTCAAGAGACATAATGTCCGTTGAATTGCTGTATACCATTCAATCGCAATGGTTTGTTGTGATGTGATGGCATACTATGTAGAAGATCATGGGTTCTATCATGCCCCTTAAAGTTTACAGACCTGAAGTGATAGGGTCGAATCGATATTTTGTCTCTAAACGCATGATTTTGGTATGTGTGTACCTATTACCTGTTCTCATTCCTTTCTGTGATGCTCGTAGAAGTACAAAGGACTTCTCGGCTTCCAATAAAGTGAGTATGACGCCAACAATAACCTTCTCTTTCCCAAATTGATCGACGTGGGTCAGCAGTATTCGCACATTGAGGATGAACGCTAGTCCCAAACACGATCTATTGGTTCTCTGTGCAATTACACCTGATCAACAATTACTAGCGGTCAATAATGCTCATGCTAATTAGAGTGGCTCAACGTTATATGAAAAAAAAGCAAACTTTACCTCACCAAACGAGAACAACCCTTTTTTGGTTCCATGTGGTTTTCCCCAAACAACTTTGGAAAATTTGAGGACGATTGATTGTAACCCGGTTTTCGGCATAGCGTTTGAAATTTGTATGGAAATTGGAATGGGAATACCTACTTTTTTGCATTTTTATCTCTAGAGACCACAATTTTGCAGGAACCATGCAACTAACCATGTAATATAATACAGGAACTGCCTAACAACTTTGCCAAAGGAAGTACTGTGAAATAATGCCTCTAAAAAAAAAAGTTATAAATATTCAAATATTTATGGTTAGAATTAAATGCCAAAAATCACTTTTCCTGCCAAGAATGCCGGTGTACCAATGGGAGTCAGATTCCAAACTGAAATAATTTCTTAAGAGTTTCTTATCTTATCGGTTTGGTATGTTGAAATGAATTATTCAAAATCAACTGGTCTATCTCATATGCGTAGTTGAAGAAGGTGGGAGGGGGATGGCTTAATACCCTCCCCCCACACCTCCTCAGTTTTATCAGTTTCAAACTGAAATAACTTCGTAGTTTCTTAACTTATAATTGCTCTAATCATTTCTGACAATGCTAACTCCTTTTCGAAATTTCGACCGACTTCATGCGAAAACCAGCAAACGAGTGGAGTAATTATAGAGATTATTGCAATGCGATACAACGAGTTGCTTCCTTGATGGTTGTCAACGATGTTGCTCAAGGAGGGGTGAAGCCAATTACTGACTTTATCAATAAATCCACCCGAGACCCAGTTCAGTAGCAATATTTGCTGCAGGTGATCAAACAGCATCGAAAAGAGTACCCCGAGAAATTGTAGAATATATTAAACTGAAACATAGTCATTACAATCCTATGACATTTGTGCGAATATCTCTAACATTGTATATTATACCAAAAGAGTAGAGAAGGGGGCATTTTCAAACTGCTCTTATGAAATTGAGTAAATGTTTTTGAATAACCCATCTGAAAACAAATCGAGAGTTGGGATACTCTGAAGTTATTTCAGTCTTTATTTACTTTCATTGATATAATTGACGGGGGTTGAAGGGATACAGTATGCCCCCAACATCCAACTACGCCTATTTAGGCTAGATACTGGCCCAACAGCTGTCCGACGACAGTCCAAACAGAAAGAAGAAGAAGAACTACGCCTATTAATGGAGCAAATGTTTTTGAATACATCTGAACGTACCAACTTGACAAGATCAGTTTAGCCCCCCCCCCCTCCTCATTTCTAACTATGCCTTTAAGATTAGGAAATTTATTTGAATAATTCTCGATGAACATTTCAAATGGTCCTATCTGCTTTGATCGATTCTCTTCATCGACTTTCTCTTTTCATCACCACTGCTATGCAAACAGATTTCGCGTTAATTCTACCACATAGTTTGATAAAGGAGGTTCTTATCTAGCTTCCAAAACGTCAAATACAACAGGGAAAGGTTTTGCAGCTGAGTTATTGATGAAAGAGAAAGTCGATGAAGAAAATCGATCAAAGCAGATAGGACCATTTGAAATGTTCATCGAGAATTTATCTTAACGTACCAAATCGATAAGATAAGAAACTCCGTAATTATTCCAGTTTGAAACTTTACTTGTATTGATATGAGTTTAATGAGGCATGGGAGGATGTAGTGACCCACCCCCCCCTCTCCCTTTCCAACTACGCATATTAGATAGATCTATTGTTTTTGAACAATACATGTGAACATACCAAATCGATAAGATGAGAGATTCCAAAATTATTTCCATTTGGAGTCTGCTTTTCATTGGTACACCGGTAGTGTTGGCAGGAAAAGTGGCATTTAATTCGAAACATTGATCTTTGAACAACTATAACTTTTATTCGAGGCATTCTAGCACCATATTTCCTTGCGCAATGTTATTGGGCACTTCCTGGACTATACTTTAACATAATAAGATGAATGGTTCAAGTAAAATCGTGATGCCTAGGAATATAGATACATAAAAGCAAGTTTTCCCGTACTAATTTCCATACAAACTTCAAACGCAATGCGAAGAGCCGGGTTACAACCAATCGCTCCAAAAATTGCACAGTTATTTGGGACCCCAAATAGAACCGACAAAACAAAGGTTTTGAAAAAATGATCATAATGACCCATCCTAATGCTCATGCTCACAATAAAACACAGAACGAGCTGCAAATAATGAACGAAGCACAATAAACAATAGCTTCTGTCGATTACACAGAATCAATCGTGTGCTCAACGTCGACAGATACAACTCATGAATACTGTATACTATAGAATTCACCCAGTTTTATTAAAATACTGCGATGATTTAACGGGGACACGAAACATCCCCTTTTTTTAATTTAAAAAAGAGGCAACTGAAAACTTGTTCATCTATAATTTTCTATTTTGCAGATCGAATTGTTTTCCTCTGGAGCACGAAGGAATTCGCCAGCACCAAAGACCGCCGGTCGTTCCGCATCAACGTCGATTATGACCATGCAGTACGTGTACGGTGGAGTCCCGATGGCCGAGCTTTGGTGGTCTACAAGTATAGCGAGGGCTGCATCGAAGTCTACAAGGTGGATAAAGTTGATAACTGGTTCCAAATTCAAACTAAGGGTTCCACTTTCCCTCGAGCCCATATGGAAGACATCGTAGGATTCGGAATAGCCCCAGATGGAAAATATCTCATGACCTGCTCGAACAAAACCGATCTAACCGTATGGGATGTAAGAGGAAATGTCCTGGAAAAGATCGATACCTTCCTAATGAGTACGTACAATGCCAAAATCTCCCCTTGTGGAAAATTCATCGCTGCTTGCGGTTTTACGAGTGACGTGCCTCTGTGGGAGGTCAAGTTTAGCAAATCTGGAGACTTTCAATCGGTTCAGAAGGCGTTTGATCTGTCCGGACATAAATCAGGCATTTACGACATTGCTTTTGATCAAGATTCTTCAAAGACGGTCACCGTATGCAAGGATGGAACATGGAAGATTTACAATACGAAAAGTATGTGAACAAAAGATCTGTTTGGTGAATACCATAATAATATAATTACTTACAGTTGAGTATCAAAAAGGAGAGATGCCACGTTGTCTGTTGACTGGAACATACGAAGCAACGAGTGCCGCAGCTCTAGTGGCCATGAGCCCTTCGGGAGAAGTTGTTGCCATCGGTACTGGAAAGTCAATCTATTTTTACTCTGCTACCACCGGACATTTGGAAGCATCGATCGAAGACATGTGTTCGGGTATGTAAACTTACGCAAGGTTGTGTTATAGTAATTGTTTACCCAAATATTTACCAACGTAATTTGCAGGTCAAATATCGACTCTTCAGTTCGATCCCATTGGCAAATATTTGCTGGTTTGCGCTGATCGCTACATTCGCATCTTCCATAACATGCCCGGATACAAAGTGGCCTTAGAAAGTTTGGAGCAAAAGTTGAAACAATCAAAAATGTCCGCTGCCACACGAGAGCGCATCGAAATGCAGATTTCCGAGAATGAAGCGTTTTTGAAAAAGTTTGAATGAATGGAAGCATAACGCCGACTGACATGAGGATCTAGCAAATGTTGGTTTTTCAATACTTGCCAGACTTTACAATGTTTTATGGTTTTTGAATCTACAGTAACTGGAAGCATTTATAATTTAGTTAGTGACACATCTTGAAATATATACAATGAACTGCCATGAGTTTTTGATGATGTAGGTGACTAATAAATGTTCTAAAATAAAATTTATGTAATAAAACAGCATACTAGTAGGGTTATATTGCTTATTGTGAACGCCATTTGGTTACCCAAACCGTAACATCATTCCAACTAAACTCATGGAATAGCCTCCTAGTAAACTCATATTAGGTTTTGCACCGTCGGGGTTAACCTCAATCTGATGGCAGTTCAGTGGTACTGTTTACGTGGACTTAGTCGATTTTTTCTTGGGTACATTTTCTGGATCATTTTTCAGATTGCAGTGAGCTGTAAACCACACTTTTGCAATTAGGTTCTGCAGCGTGACGTCACAAATGAACTCAGTGTTAATAGGCTGAACCTTTTTGACAGTTCAGTGGTACTGTTTACAAGCACTTAGTCGTTTTTTCGAAAAAAAAAATTCTAAAATTTCCTAATTTTAACTTGAAAATTGTCGAGGAACAGCGCATTGCAAGGATGTTGCTCGTGAACATTGCAGAAATGTGGTTTACATCTCACTGCAGTCTGAAAAATTATCGAGAAAATCCACCCAAGAAAAAATCGGCTAAGTCCACGTAAACAGTACCACTAAACTGTCATCAGATTGAGGTTAACCCCGACGGTGCAAAACCTAATTGGCGTTGACGGCACCGTCGAAAAATTTTCTCTTTCAGCAAATATAGACAGTTTCTTATGAGAATTTTCGGTGGAGTGAAAGGATAGTACAAAGTCCGCCATGTTTCACGCACAGTCTGACGTTTGCTTATGGATTTTCTCATAGGAGTAAAGAGAGAGTCGCCGTCAACGCCAATGTCCACGAGCAACATCCTTTCACCACGCATTTCCTCAACAATGTTCAAGTTAAAATTCGGAAATTTTAAAATATATTTTTTTTTTCGAAAAAACGACTAAGCACGGAACCGAAAAATTACCCAAAATTAAGTTTTTTTTCACACATCTCCCATGTTCCGTTCAATAAGCTAATTTTGAGTAAACCGCTTATAGTAGTTTACATTTGACTACGGCAAAAATAATTACTTACTCATGAGTATTTTCTACCCAAAATTAAGTTCAATTGACTCAAATTAGAGAATATCTCATATACTCACTACACAGCAAAAAAAGTTGTTGAATATTACATCGAAACTGCTGCAACCAGGTCAATTCATCGGTTGTGTAATATCACATTGTACGATGTACATCGATTTTGCGAACAAAATTACATCCATTGATGTAATATTGTATCTGCTTTTTTCTATTACATCATTATTTCATACATCAGCTTGAATAACGTTGATCGATATTACATTTTTTTTTTTGCTGTGTAATAGCTTATTGAACGATAGTCATGAGAAAGTCGAATCTCTCGTTCCGTTTTTGACAACAACAAAAAGTGAGAGTGGGATGCAAAACTCTAAATTACCCAAAATTAAATAAAAAGAACTTAAATTTAGGGTACTTTTTTTTCTCTGTGAGTGCTTGTAAACAGTACCACTGAACTGTCAAAAAGGTTCAGCCATTTAACACTGAGTTCATTTGTGACGTCACGCTGCAGAACCTAATTAGGTTTTGCACCGTCGGGGTTAACCTCAATCTGATGACAGTTCAGTGGTACTATTTACGTGGACCTAATTAGGTTCTGCAGCGTGACGTCACAAATGAACTCAGTGTTAATAGGCTGAACCTTTTTGACAGTTCAGTGGTACTGTTTACAAGCACTTAGTCGTTTTTTCGAAAAAAAAATTCTAAGGTTTCTGAATTTTAACTTGAAATTTGTCGAGGAACAGCGCGTTGCAAGGATGTTGCAGTTACGGCTCGCATCTCTCATGTTTACACTGACAATAATTGTCATCCGATGTGTCAGTACCGATCTATCAGTCGAATGGTAAATTGTTATTGTGTACTCTAGAGTCGGTGTATAATGAGTCACGCCAAGAGTGAAGCCAAGTCTACCTATCGAACCGTCAAACCGGCTACCTATCGGGCAAAGTAAATAAACATTACGATGCTATGAAAGGTCCACGAAAGGTATTGCAATAAAATATAAAATATCGAAGAAATGAGCATAAACACGCAGTGAGCTTTAAATTGTCATGGGATACGTTCGGTAATGATCAGTAATGAGAATTTCTACTATTTTTTGTTAAGATAATTTGACAAAATCACTGATATAATGATTTACTACAGCCGCATTTTTTTTCTCTCGCTAGAAGTCATTTGAAGTTGTTGTAGAAGTCCTCTGTTGCCAAGTGAAAAGAATGGGAATCTTTCGAAAACCGTAATGCGAGTTCAACTGTTTTTCTCTTGGCGTGACTCATTATACACCGACTCTAGTTTACTCCACAAGACGATGGTGATAATATCAACGCAGTTTGTTTCTCAACACGCGTAACATTTGAAAATGGATTATCAATTTTTCTAAACAACTTGCAAGGTCCTTTTCACGAGAACCGAAGTATGCTTTCGTAAACCAAGAGCACTATCGGGAAGGAGAGAATTTCTCCTACACGATGGTGTTGTTAATTTGCGTGAGCGTATTCGGTTCGCACGAAAAGGGCTTAACAAGTTTTGTTAAGTATGATTGTGTCAGTGATTTGTTTTCATCGGGAAAATTTTGCACTATGAAGTTTTTTTTTCCCGATGAAAACATTTTGCGTATACACAGCAAAAAAAGTTGTTGAATATTACATCGAAACTGATGCAACCAGGTCAATCCATCGGTTGTGTAATATCACATTGTACAATGTACATCGATTTTGCGAACAAAATTACATCCATTGATGTAATATTGTATCTGCTTTTTGCTATTACATCATTATTTCATACATCAGCTGGAATTACGTTGATCGATATTACATTTTTTTTTGCTGTGTACGTGACGTACACGGTAAGAAAAAAGTACCCAAAAGTAAATTCTTTTCACTCATATCGGCACTATAGTGCAGGAACTCAAAAGTAGGTAAAGCGGGCCAAAGTAGTTTTCATTTACTTGTGTGCAATTCGAATGGAATTTTCCACTAGCTTTCTACGCAAAAGTTAGTTAGTTGTACCCAAAAGTAGGTAAATATGATTATACTCAACGTTCTCACACTTTACTACCCCTGTTGGGTGGTTTTGCTCCTCCGTTTTTAACAACATTAGAAGGAGAAAAGGAGACAAACTAGTCAAAAGTAGGTAAAAGTGAACTGACCGTTGGGTACTTTTTTCTTACCGTGTAGTGTGCGTACGATAAACGTCAATATATACACTGATACAAAATCCATTGGCAAAAATACTATATTGCTGGTTTAAATTAAATACCCTCACCAATAGATTTGTGCAGAAAACAATTTCATTTAATTTTACTATTATTTCTATCAAAATTACTATGCATTTTGAGCAAGCATAGTAGTTTCGTCAGAATCATAGTAAATTGTTTTACATTCGTAGTCAACTATACTGAATTTATAGTAGATTTAACAGTAATAAGCGCGGTTATATTGATAATAAGTGTTTTCTGCAAAATAGTATTTCTAACTATGATCCTTGTTTCAGTGTAAGCAATCTCTATTATCAATATCAATATCAATAAGCAATCTCTATTTTGAGTCTACTCAGTACGCTATTTTGAGTCTACTCAGTGACTGGGTAGATTCCACTCATTCTTACGTGCAGTATGGAGTTGTCAAAAATTGAGTAAGCTAGATTTGTTGTGATGAGTCTACCCAGATTCTGGTAAATTACAGTAATTTATTTTTTCCAAAGTTTAACATGGCGAACGCTGATCAAAATGATGTTAGCGCAGTGAATTAATTTCAAGTGGTACCTAACTGCTAAAAAAAGGAGAAGCTACAAAACGGTGTGGATTGCGAAAGCTGCCAGCAGTTAGCTGGTAAGTAAATTGTTTATATCTGGATTAAGAAGCTCATTTTGACTTTTCATTATTCAGGTATTGTGTGCCGTATTCCATTGTAAGAATGGACAACAATCCCGCAAAAATGTTTGCCTCGAGTCCGGCTGGTGCAAAATGCAGAGGTCCACAACGAGGTAGGTGGTTAGATCAAGTGGAACAAGATCTATGAAGCGTGGGACGCTCGAGAAACTGGACAAAAGCAGCCACGAACCCAGTTAGCTCGCGCCTTGGTTGGCGCAATATTGTGATGCAGGTGAAATCCTGGGGGACGCCGGACCAGAATAGTGAAAGTAAAGTGTCCAATTCCTGGCTCTACCATGCAACCAACGAACCAGTACAGATCCCGAAAATGTGTGAAGTTTGCTGCTGAAAGCAGAAAAAGCTCTAAGAATATTTTTTTTTTTTCAATAACCCCACAATCACGAATTATTTTCTATTTCTAGAAATAAACGCAGATTTATGGTTTGTTTTATTAATTACATTCAATTTTGACGGTATTTTATCTCTATACCCATTAGAATTCATATAAATTAATGTTCATTTAAATGAGTAACGTTTACTCAGTTTGCAAGCGTCAAGAACTGAGTGAACGTTACCCAATTTTCTTCACAGGCTTGTTTACTCAGATTTGAGTAAATACATGTTTACTCATTTTTGAGTAACTTCCCTTTTGGCCAGATTGAGTGATATTCAACTCAAAAATGAGTAGCCCCAGAATAGCGTGTAAACCAATCTCCTCTTCCAATAAGTACAAAGAGAGGTGAGGCAGATCGTGAAATATGGTTGATTATTTTTTTTTTTTTTTCCTTGGATTTGTTTTCCGTCGATCTTGTTTTCCGTGCTGAGCACCAATGCTACCGACGCCAGGAAGGCAGCTCCCACACCTGGACCCTACCACCTATCGACCCATCAACTCATGAACCGGGGACCAACGGCTTTACTTCCCTTCCGAAGGAAGGCGTGATCAGAGATGTTATGCCTCAGAACATCCCGGCGGCGCCGACTGGGATTGAACCCAGGCCTGCTGGGGTGAGAGGCAATCACGCTTACCACTACACCACCGGCACCGCTAATATGGTTGATTAGTAAACCAAAAAATCAACGTAAACACAAGGAGTGACGTCACTAATTGCTTGCATCGTACAGGGATTTTACTCACACAACTTAACCGATTACTTCGACAGTGAGCATTCATAAGGGCGTATACGCGATGATCGATTCTCTTCATCGATTTTCTCTTTTCTTAATAACTCGCTAGATTTAACGTTTGTCGGTGCGTTTGTTGTTGCTTTTGAAAGCCAATACAGCCTATTACAACTCTACATTGAACAAATTCCACAAAATTGTTTCGCTTAGCTGTAGCAATGCAAAGAGAAAAACGATGAAGAGAATCGATCATCGCGTATACGCCCTTATGCATGCTCACTGTCGACTTTACCTCTGTAATCTATCTCATTGCTTCTCTTCTCCTTCGGTGCTTTCAATTTGTTGCCAAATTGATCATGGTAGGCCGGTCACATAAAAAGCTCAAATCAAAATTTTTCTTCGAGCTGTCATGACACATCCCGAACATCCTCCCCCAGGCGTTGACTCAAGATGAAGAATTATCCAAGACTGGGAGCGGTGCAAGTTTGTGTATAGGAAGCTTCACACCTGGTCCGGATATCAGCAACTCGAATAAATCCATCCGTTCCAGAATAAACCTTATGGATTACTCCCAGCTTCCAAACGTGAGATGGTAAGTTATCCTCCTTTACGATTACCACCATCCCAGGGCGAATGTTGGAGAATTTCTTGGTCCACTTACTTCTTACCTGTAGTTCCATTAGATACTCACGATACCAACGTTTCCAGAAATTGTTTCGAAGTACCTGCACGTACTGCCATCGCGACAGCCTGTTGTTGGGATCTCCTCGTACGTTGGCTCCGGTATTGCCGTTAAAGGACGACCGATCTTAAAGTGACCAGGAGTCAGTGGTTCGGGGTCTGTAGCATCTTCCGAATGTGCATACAGAGACCGTGAATTCAGCAAGGCCTTGATTTGACACAGCAGCGTCGAAAACTCCATCAAGTTGAGTGAACCAGTGTCGCAAATCCTTTTCAAAATTGAGTTGGTGCACTTGACTCCTGCCTCCCAAAGGCCACCCATATGTGGTGAACTTGGTGGTATCATTCTCCAGCGCATTTCACGTGGTTGGTAAAATACATTTATCTTCCTTTTTGTTATTTGCTCCTTGAACAGGTTGGACAACACATGCAATTCCCTCTTGGCGCCCAGAAAATTGGTTCCGTTGCAGAAAACAACTCCTCTGGAACACCCCTTTGGGATACGAATCTGTGCAGTGCAGCAATGAACGCATCCAGCTCATTGCTTCTCTTCTCCTTCGGTGCTTTCAATTTGTTGCCAAATTGATCATGGTAGGCCGGTCACATAAAAAGCTCAAATCAAAATTTTTCTTCGAGCTGTCATGACACAGCCCGAACATCCTCCCCCAGGCGTTGACTCAAGATGAAGAATTATCCAAGACTGGGAGCGGTGCAAGTTTGTGTATAGGACGCTTCACACCTGGTCCGGATATCAGCAACTCGAATAAATCCATCCGTTCCAGAATAAACCTTATGGATTACTCCCAGCTTCCAAACGTGAGATGGTAAGTTATCCTCCTTTACGATTACCACCATCCCAGGGCGAACGTTGGAGAATTTCTTGGTCCACTTACTTCTTACCTGTAGTTCCATTAGATACTCACGAGACCAACGTTTCCAGAAATTGTTTCGAAGTACCTGCACGTACTGCCATCGCGACAGCCTGTTGTTGGGATCTCCTCGTACGTTGGCTCCGGTATTGCCGTTAAAGGACGACCGATCATAAAGTGACCAGGAGTCAGTGGTTCGGGGTCTGTAGCATCTTCCGAATGTGCATACAGAGACCGTGAATTCAGCAAGGCCTTGATTTGACACAGCAGCGTCGAAAACTCCATCAAGTTGAGTGAACCAGTGTCGCAAATCCTTTTCAAAATTGAGTTGGTGCTCTTGACTCCTGCCTCCCAAAGGCCACCCATATGTGGTGAACTTGGTGGTATCATTCTCCAGCGCATTTCACGTGGTTGGTAAAATTAATTTATCTTCCTTTTTGTTATTTGCTCCTTGAACAGGTTGGACAACTCATGCAATTCCCTCTTGGCGCCCACAAAATTGGTTCCGTTGCAGAAAACAACTCCTCTGGAACACCCCTTTGGGATACGAATCTGTGCAGTGCAGCAATGAACGCATCCAGCTCATTGCTTCTCTTCTCCTTCGGTGCTTTCAATTTGTTGCCAAATTGATCATGGTAGGCCGGTCACATAAAAAGCTCAAATCAAAATTTTTCTTCGAGCTGTCATGACACAGTCCGAACATCCTCCCCCAGGCGTTGACTCAAGATGAAGAATTATCCAAGACTGGGAGCGGTGCAAGTTTGTGTATAGGACGCTTCACACCTGGTCCGGATATCAGCAACTCGAATAAATCCATCCGTTCCAGAATAAACCTTATGGATTACTCCCAGCTTCCAAACGTGAGATGGTAAGTTATCCTCCTTTACGATTACCACCATCCCAGGGCGAATGTTGAAGAATTTCTTGGTCCACTTACTTCTTACCTGTAGTTCCATTAGATACTCACGATACCAACGTTTCCAGAAATTGTTTCGAAGTACCTGCACGTACTGCCATCGCGACAGCCTGTTGATTGGGATCTCCTCGTACGTTGGCTCCGGTATTGCCGTTAAAGGACGACCGATCTTAAAGTGACCAGGAGTCAGTGGTTCGGGGTCTGTAGCATCTTCCGAATGTGCATACAGAGACCGTGAATTCAGCAAGGCCTTGATTTGACAAAGCAGCGTCGAAAACTCCATCAAGTTGAGTGAACCAGTGTCGCAAATCCTTTTCAAAATTGAGTTGGTGCTCTTGACTCCTGCCTCCCAAAGGCCACCCATATGTGGTGAACTTGGTGGTATCATTCTCCAGCGCATTTCACGTGGTTGGTAAAATTAATTTATCTTCCTTTTTGTTATTTGCTCCTTGAACAGGTTGGACAACTCATGCAATTCCCTCTTGGCGCCCACAAAATTGGTTCCGTTGCAGAAAACAACTCCTCTGGAACACCCCTTTGGGATACGAATCTGTGCAGTGCAGCAATGAACGCATCCAGCTCATTGCTTCTCTTCTCCTTCGGTGCTTTCAATTTGTTGCCAAATTGATCATGGTAGGCCGGTCACATAAAAAGCTCAAATCAAAATTTTTCTTCGAGCTGTCATGACACAGTCCGAACATCCTCCCCCAGGCGTTGACTCAAGATGAAGAATTATCCAAGACTGGGAGCGGTGCAAGTTTGTGTATAGGACGCTTCACACCTGGTCCGGATATCAGCAACTCGAATAAATCCATCCGTTCCAGAATAAACCTTATGGATTACTCCCAGCTTCCAAACGTGAGATGGTAAGTTATCCTCCTTTACGATTACCACCATCCCAGGGCGAATGTTGAAGAATTTCTTGGTCCACTTACTTCTTACCTGTAGTTCCATTAGATACTCACGATACCAACGTTTCCAGAAATTGTTTCGAAGTACCTGCACGTACTGCCATCGCGACAGCCTGTTGATTGGGATCTCCTCGTACGTTGGCTCCGGTATTGCCGTTAAAGGACGACCGATCTTAAAGTGACCAGGAGTCAGTGGTTCGGGGTCTGTAGCATCTTCCGAATGTGCATACAGAGACCGTGAATTCAGCAAGGCCTTGATTTGACAAAGCAGCGTCGAAAACTCCATCAAGTTGAGTGAAGCAGTGTCATAAATCCTTTTCAAAATTGAGTTGGTGCTCTATCATATCCCTTTACCGGAGCAGCCTTTCTACTGGTTTGCTTGATTAAAAAAGGGCCGGCTCCAACCCCACCTGTTGGAATGCTGGAGCGCACAGACGGAAGGTCTCCCATGAATTTTTCTGCAGCAGTGGGATTAACCTTGAAGCATTTAACGTAATCACGCGTAATTTTAAGTACCGTAGATCGTCCATTAATAATCTTATATTGTCTTCGCAGGGTTGCTAGCAAAGCAGTTGGTCCGATGTGCAGATTCTCGCGGTGGATGCACCGCATATAACTTTGAACCACGGGGCTTCTATTTGGCAAGATCCACTGATGCTTGCTCAGGTACGGTAATTGCGAATGGCGCAGACGACCACCAGCTCGCAATAGCTCACCATCAAAAAAGGGGTTCAAGGATTTAAGCTTCTTGGAGGACTCACCTGATTTCATTCTCACGATCTCTTCTGCAAACTCTTGACGCTGTACCACAAATACTATTACCTTCATTGCATCTTGCATCTCAGGTATAATTGGAAATGTCGATAGCACACGCTTCTCCTTAATTCTTTCTTTCTTGTAAACACAGGTAACAGTTCAAGTTCCACTGTGGTACTGACGAAAACCGTGGTCTTGAGTTCGGGAATATCTTCATCTGGCAACGGTTCAGGAACATCCATTTGGCATTCTTCACTTCTCAAAAACATTGGTCCGTTCCACCACAGATCACTTGTGGCCAAAATTTCGGCAGAAAGCCCACGGGACACTATATCAGCAGGATTTTCTGCAGTGTTCACATACTTCCACGAAAAATAATTTCCGCTAGAAGTAATCTCACCAACTCTATTTCTTACAAACACTTCCAGCTGTTCGAGATTTTTCTTCAGCCAGGCTAACACGATTTGGCTGTCTAAACTCAACACTATTTTCCGGAAGGGTAGTTTCAAAGTTTCCAACACTTTCTTCACTAGACGATGCAACAACACAGCTGCCAAGAGTTCTTTTCGCGGAACCGTCAGTACTGGCTTCGGCACTATCTTCAACTTTGCAGTCAAAATCTTCACCTCATGGGACTTTCCAAGAACAATTGATCTTATGTAAACGCATGCTCCGTAAGCTTCCAAGGACGCATCTCCGAACCCATTGATCTCAAAGGCAGTAGCATCAGATGACACCACTCGACAAGGGATTCGGATCTTCTTCACACCACTTAAGCACTTCAAGAAGTATTCCCAATTTTTAACCAATTCACTGTTTAATTCTTCGTCCCAATCGATCTTCTCACTCCAAACGTTCTTCAACAGCATCTTCCCAAAGAACAATCACCGGTGCAGCTAACCCCAGAGGGTCGAACATACTTGCAACTAACGACAATACTTGGCGCTTCGTCGGCTTTGTTATCTCAGGAAATGGCTTTGCAACGAAGATCAGTTCATCCGAGGACGGGTTCCACAGCAGACCAAGTGTTTTGATCACTTCGTTCACTCCAGTTCCTTTTAATGTTCACCAATTCTTCACGATCAACTTCTGGTATATGCTCGACTAGATCTGGACAGTTTGAAGCCCACTTGTGCAAATGAAATCCACCTGCCTCCAAGAGATGGATGAGCTGCGACTGTGCTTCTGCGACATTATCTACATAAAAACAGTTCTTGACAATTTTGGCTGCCAATGGAAAATTGTGCCCTTCATCGAGTGCTACCTGTAGTAATACTCTTGTTGCTAGGAAAGGTGCTGAAGCAGTGCCATAGCTTACGGTTTTTAACTCCAGCACACGAAGTGGACGCGACGGATCCAATCTGAAGAATACTCGATGAAGACATCTGTGTACCTTATCAACACTTGACGATACATCTTTGGTACATCCGTAGTCAGGAAATAACATGGAATTCGGAATCGAAGAGTTATCTCATTCAAAGAACACTGATTAAGCGATCCTATCTTCATGACATCATTCAACCTTTGCCGATGCACCACTTGGTAGTAGTATTCGACGGACGCAGTAGGTGGTGTAGGTAGGTACCACGCACCATACTTAACTTCTTCACTCTCGTTAATTTCTTCACAGTGACCAAGCTGCTCGTACTCAGTCATGAACTCGATGTATTGTTGCTTCTAATTCGGATCTTGTGCAAACCGTCTCTCCACGATGTGAAACCTCTTGAAAGCCAGTGAACGGGAACTTCTTAACTTACTGACATTCTCATTGAGAGGCAATTGGACGACGTACCTCCCAGTTTCGTTACGACGGTGTGTTTCTTGAAAATGTTGCTCACACTCTATAGCTTCCGAGGATGGTTCCACACTTGCAACTTCTTCAATTTCCCAGAACCTCTTGACAGTTCGATCCAACTCCTCAAGCGTAAGTGAATGTGAATGGACCACTGCATCGGACATTGTGTCATTACAAACCCCACCAACCACCCAGCCCAGTTGGGTTTCTCGCAGACTTGGGAGATGATCAGCCAAATGCATTTCTCCTGGCAGTAGCAATTTTAAAAACAGCTGATTTCTGAGCAACATATCTACCTTTCCAGTCTCGTAGAACATTGGATCATCCCATGGACATACATTCACCGTGGAAGATGGCAAATCCGCCGTTACTCTTTCAGTCACCAAACACTTCACGTTGCCATTGAAACCAGAATACCTTGAACGAATCTACACCACGCAACTGCTTGACGCATGGCTCTTCGTGTTCACTTCTGCAACGACGACGTTGGAAGGAAACCGCTTCAAACCCAGGAACTCTATCATTGGCTTGCAAATCAATTTAACTTGTGACACACTGTCCAATAAAACGCGACACGGGTGGCTTTTTTGATTTTCATCGATGACATCCACCACTGCTGTAAGAAGTAGCACTGGCAACTCGCGGATGTTGCTTCTTCTGGTGGCTTCGGCGGTGGTTCTTCTGTCTTATGCGGTTGGGTCGATGGCTTGGAGGCTTATTACGGATGTCACTTCACGGTGAAAACTTGTCACTTGTCGTCACGTCACGGTGAAGTGATTTCCATTTGATTTTCACGGCAATCACGGCTCTTATTTATTTAAGCCTATTCTGCGCGGCGTGTGAGGTCCAACCGCAGAAGACAGAAGAACCACCGCCGAAGCCACCAGAAGAAGCAACATCCGCCAGTTGCCAGTGCTACTTCTTACAGCAGTGGTGGATGTCATCGATGAAAATCAAAAAAGCCACCCGTGTCGCGTTTTCAACATCCTCCCCCAGGCGTTGACTCAAGATGATCTTCCTTTTTGTTATTTGCTCCTTGAACAGGTTGGACAACTCATGCAATTCCCTCTTGGCGCCCACAAAATTGGTTCCGTTGCAGAAAACAACTCCTCTGGAACACCCCTTTGGGATACGAATCTGTGCAGTGCAGCAATGAACGCATCCAGCTCATTGCTTCTCTTCTCCTTCGGTGCTTTCAATTTGTTGCCAAATTGATCATGGTAGGCCGGTCACATAAAAAGCTCAAATCAAAATTTTTCTTCGAGCTGTCATGACACAGCCCGAACATCCTCCCCCAGGCGTTGACTCAAGATGAAGAATTATCCAAGACTGGGAGCGGTGCAAGTTTGTGTATAGGACGCTTCACACCTGGTCCGGATATCAGCAACTCGAATAAATCCATCCGTTCCAGAATAAACCTTATGGATTACTCCCAGCTTCCAAACGTGAGATGGTAAGTTATCCTCCTTTACGATTACCACCATCCCAGGGCGAATGTTGGAGAATTTCTTGGTCCACTTACTTCTTACCTGTAGTTCCATTAGATACTCACGATACCAACGTTTCCAGAAATTGTTTCGAAGTACCTGCACGTACTGCCATCGCGACAGCCTGTTGATTGGGATCTCCTCGTACGTTGGCTCCGGTATTGCCGTTAAAGGACGACCGATCTTAAAGTGACCAGGAGTCAGTGGTTCGGGGTCTGTAGCATCTTCCGAATGTGCATACAGAGACCGTGAATTCAGCAAGGCCTTGATTTGACAAAGCAGCGTCGAAAACTCCATCAAGTTGAGTGAAGCAGTGTCATAAATCCTTTTCAAAATTGAGTTGGTGCTCTATCATATCCCTTTACCGGAGCAGCCT